CTTACATTCAGTCACTCATGAAGCCATTCATTATTCCTCAGGCATTTATGGAGCACCTTCTATGGAGAGCTACTGTGCTACTGTAGAGGATACAACTGCCAGCATTGTATCCTAGGTCCAGTCACCAAGAACTTACATTCTCATGAGGAAAGAAGGCAGGGCGATCTGAAGAATGGGTACAGGATGACGAGGTGAGGGGCTCAGATAAGGGATCAGGGCAGGCCTCTCTGAGGAAGTGGCCTCTGAGCTGAGATCTGAAAGATGAGAATGAGCCAGCCATTTGCAGAGCTCAGAAAGGCCGCACACAGGCAGAAGGACCAGTGCACGGACCATCTGCAGGAAGACGCTGGGCGTATCACAGAACATACAGGCCACCAGGACCAAGGCTGAGTGAGCAACAAAGGAAAAGAAAGTTTGAGAGGAGGCAGGCCTACTTGACCACAGAAAAGAGTTTGGATTTTGTCATAAGGGCAATGGAAAAATCAAAAAAGTGTTTTAATTAGGGGAGTGACAATCTGATTTGTGCCTTAAAGAGAGAGTTCTGGTGGCAGAGGGAGTGCAGGGAGGGGCAGAGTTAGGAATGAGGGCAGACACAGGAGAGGAGTTGGGCTGATGTAAGGAAGGGATGTCTCCTGGTCAGAGCTGGGGAAGTGGAATGAGGTTCCCCAGGTGCTGATGACTTTCCTGTCTTTGGAAGTGTTCAAGAATAAACCAGATGACCTCTTGGCTACATGGTTAAAGAATTCAATAATTGGGTGGACAAATCCTCCTCAGCCTAAAATCCTTCTAAACCCAAGAATTCTGTGGTTTTAAGATAAAATCTTTATTAATCTGACTTTCAGAACTGGAGTTGCCACAACTTCCTTGGTAAATCCCACCTTTCAAAAGGCACCTGAGAACAATATTAGCGTATTTCAGTCCATATAAAGTGACTCCTACTTTACTTCTTAGTGTCACGCATTTGCTGAAAGGCTTTGGTGTAAGTAAAAGGCACAAACTATGGAATCAGACAGCCCAGACCAGCTCTGAGATATCTGGCAAGTTATTTAAATCCTTAGAGTTTTAGTTTCTTTCTTTGAAAAATGGGAAAAATAATGCCTAATTCATGATAATTGCTGTAAGGACCAAAGTCTAATGTCTGAAACATTATAATAAGAATAATGATAAATGGCATTTATTGAGCCATTAGTGTATGCTTGCATGTACTATGTGATCTAGGGGCACTTTGTCATCTAATCCTTTAAAAAAAACCAGAAGGTAAGCACTATTACTATCCCAACATTAAAATTTAGGGAACTATTTCTAGAGGTTAAATAACTTACCTGAGAGTCACATAGCTATTTATTGCTCACATTATTAAAAAACAACAACAACAGGCAAATAACAAACTTCAACAAAAATTGAAAGAAAAAAAAACAAAGAAACCTATACTATTTATATAACTTGAGAAAAAGATGTAACCTACTGTTAAATTTAACAATCCATTTAATTTGCTGATTACACATTTAGTAAATATTTATTGAACATATAAATGAATAAATGAATGAATAAATAATTCCAACAAACCTGTATTCCAACAAACCATCAATTTAATTGAGAGTTTCCTATAAAACCACAATCTTCAAACTGCAGATAAATTGCCAACATAATGACCCATAGTCCATAAAGGAAGGTCCTGCCTGGCCGGCGTGGCTCAACGGTTGAGCACTGACCTATGAACCAGGTGGTCATGATTTGATTCCAGGTCAGGGCAAATGCCTGGGTTGCAGGCTTGATCCCCAGCGGGGGATGTGCAGGGGGTAGCAGATCAATGATTTTCTCTCCTCATTGATGTTTCTATCTCTCTCTCCCCCTTTCTCTCTGAAATCAATAAAAATATATGTTTTTTAAAAGGAAGGACCTAAGAAATATCATTCTCATACAGAACAAAAGGAGCAGGAATAACTGTTCTTCTTTCTTTGGAAAGTCAAACTGTTAGAGGGGTACTCAGGGCAGTTGGAAGAAGACAGAGCGCACCATAAATGGAAGCCTAGAAGAAGTGGTCTCAAAGAAAAGATGAGAAGCCGTCCAAAGGAGGCAGAATTTAAGAGAACAAAGCCTGACTTAATAACCAGGAGTTACTGATGGACTTCCTTAGAAATGTGGGAAAGGATACCAAGTTTCAAGGGCATTTGGATGAATGGGCTAAAGAGGAAGGGAACATGGTCTTTTTAAAAGTTTGGTGATAAAAAGGAGAAAAAAGTCCTAGCCAGTTTCGCTCAGTGGATAGGGCGTTGGTCTGCGGACTGAAGGGTCCCAGGTTCGATTCCAGTCAAGGACACATGCCTGGGTTGCAGGTTCGATCCCCAGTAGGGGGCATGCAGGAGGCAGCCGATTAATGATTCTCATCATTGATGTTTCTATCTCTCTCCCTCTCCCTTCCTCTCTAAAATCAATTAAAAAAATTTTTTAAAGGAGAGGGAAAAGCAGAAGGATGCTGGTAAGTATAGAAGGTGAGGAACAGGAGCCAAAAGAAGAGAAGCTGAAGACAGAACACAGATGAAGATACAAGAAAGAACTAGGAGGACCAGGCCTAAGGAAGGGAAGGGCAGAACAGACTATACAGGGAAAGGCTACCCTTGGGAAAAGAGAGGTCACCTTCTGCCCTGTGTCAAGAATGAAGAAGGAGAGACTAATGTATGCGCATAGTGAAAGTTACTCTGATTCAAGCTTGATGAATACAAAGAGTGATTGTTAGATAATACCATTTGAACTTAAAAGGATATTGATTTTCTTGGGCCACTCATAAATTGCTATCGAAAAGAAAAGCCATCATTTGGACCTACATTTTATACAGTTAAAAATCAGGCTTATTGAGATGTGCTTACATTCTGTTTCTTAATCTGGATGCTAGTGCACTGGTGTGTTCAGTTTGAAAATTTCATCAAGCTATATGCTTATGTGTGCACTTCTCTGTATGTTCACTCTATTTCAATAAACAGTTTTATTAACTTAGAATCATCACTCCTGTACTCTTCATACAGTTTTTTAAAAAGTAACTCAACCTCAAGAAAATTATATATTCTTTAGACAGGCAACATTCCTTTCCATTCTTTTAGATCTTCCATAGTAATAAATTCAAGATTACATATACAGTAGGTATCTAAACAATATATGTTGATGTGATTGGAAGAACTTTAGCACTTAATGTCCAGACTTAATACAAATCTATCTCCAGGAGGAGACACCTTTATGATTGTGAAACCTGGCAGACCCCACCTTAGCCAAATGAGCATCACCAATAATGGAATAAACTAACATATATGCCTCTCCTTGTGAAGCTATTTAGAATTCCTGCCAAAAATGTTTAACCTACATATAACCATGGAGAAATAACTAGACAAATTCAGGTTGTGAGATATTTTAAGAAAGCAGGCCTGGAATCTTAATCTTAAAAATATTAATGTCATAAAATACAAAAAAGAGGGAAACCTATGAATTAAAAGAGACTATTAAAAAGAGATTAAAGATGCATAGCAACTAAATTTAATGTGCAATCTTTGAGTAGACCTTAGATTAAAAACAAACCAACAACTACACTGTTAACATTATTAAACTAACATCATTAATATTCTTTGAACAATGGGGGTTTGCAAAAATGCTGCAATTGTTCATGCCCGTGTATCCAGGCCCCTGAGCAATATGACTTTCAGCTCCTCTCATCAAGAGGAGCTTCTGACTGGATTTGACCAAAAGACTGCAATAGAAGTTATACTGTGCAAGCTCCAAGCCTCGGCCTCAAAAGGCTTTGCACACTTCCACTCTCTCTGAGAATCTGGCTATTCACCATGGGACCAAGCCTAGGCTGTTCTGCTAGACTTCACAGGGGTCGCCTAAGACCATTGGAAAGCACATATATAATGACATATTGCTTTTGTCATTAATCACTATGCTTTAATTATGTTCAATTTGTAACAAGGAAATTGATGGGTCACCACAACATGAGGAACTGTATTAAAGGGTCGCAGCATTGGGAAGGTTGAGAACCACGGTGCTAGAGGATGGAAGACCCTTTGGAGCAGAGAGAAGCCATCCAAACTAAGATCAACTTAGACCAGCCAGCCTCTGACAGATCCAGACTGCAGACTTTGAGGGGACCCAGCCAAGATCAGCTGGTCCTGATGCAAAGTAGAACTATCCATATGACTCACAGAATCATGAGAATTAATAAATGGTGGTTTCACCTCACTGGCGTGGCTCAGTGGTTGAGCATCAACCTATGAACCAGGAGGTCACGGTTTGATTCCCAGTCAGGGCACGTGCCTGGGTTTGGGGCTCAATCCCCAGCAGGGGACATGCAGGAGGCAGCTGGTCAATGACTCTCATCGTTGATGTTTCTAACTCCCTCTGCTTTCCTCTCTGAAATCAATTAAAAATTTTTTTGGAAAAACAAATAAATGGTGGATCTGTTATACAGCAAATGTTAACTGATTGAAGAAGAGATTTAAATATAGACTGTATTATGGAATCAAAGTTAAATTTCTCAGGCATGATAAAGCTGTTGTGGTGATGTAAAAACATGTCCTTATACTCAGGAGATAAATACTGACATATTTAGAGATCAAGTATCATGATGTCTGCCCCCCAAAAAAACATAAATCTGCATGTATAAAAATAAAGCACATGTGACAAAATGTTAAGAATTAGTAAATTTAAGAATTTTTGAGTGTTCTTTGTACTAATCTATTCATTTGAAATTTTTGAAAATGAAAAGTTAGAAATCTACATGTGTACCTATCTCCAGAACATGGTGACACTGAATGCTTATTTGGTAACACAGCAGCCAGCACATAATGAACAGATCGTTCTCCTCCTTTTGTGCTGTCCTCCACCTCCTGCCCCTTTCTTACTGAAAGCGGCTACTACTGCTGAAGAGGGAGGTGGAGTAAATCAGGGGCAAACCCTGGTAGAGTTAAAAGAAAGATTTATTAATACGTAAGACATGTGTAAAAGTAGGTATTGCCCTGGCTGGGTGGCTCAGTTGGCTGGAGCATCATTTCATACACCAAAAGGTTTTGGGTTCCATTCCTGGTCAGGGAACACACCTAGGTTTTGGATTTGATCCCTATAGAGGCTTGTACAGGAGGCAATGGATCGATGTTTCTATCCTACATCAATGTTTCCCTCTCACATCAATGTTTCTCTCTCTCTCTCTCTCTCCCCCCTTCCTCTCTCTCCCTAAATAACAATTTAAAAAAATATCCTCTGGTGAGGATTGAAAAATAAATAAAAATTTTAAAGTAGGTATGAATAGCAAGGAATCACTGAGGGTTTCTCCCTGGTATAATTTAAAAACATTTGTGGTGGCTCACTGAAACTTGAAAAGAAAAAAGCGTTGGCAAGACACATGGGGAGGTCTCTGAAATATTTTGTGTTAGAAAACAAATATTCATGTGTTTCTATTTTAAGGGATTTCTCATACGCCTACAAATGAGAAGATTATCTTGTATTACATCTCTTCCCCGTGAAAGGCCCTCAAACAAATAAATGGCGGTTTATCTTTACCAATAGAGCCTTAATCTGTTTTTCCACAACCTAATGAAAGCCTCCTTTATTTAATGTGGATTTTCCTCCAAGTGATATGCAGCAATTATTAATGCTATGTATTGATGTTATGAATCAACCCAGGGGACTTGGTTCAAAGGATATAAGCTTTCTGAGCTGAAATCCAAGAACCTCAGTTTTTCTATGCCATATAGAGATACTCTGCTTACAAGGAATGGCAAACAATGCCCATGCTGTTCTTTATATAAAAAGCAGTAATCTAGATAGAGAGGTTTTGGTGGGTTTTTTTGTTTGTTTGTTTTTCGGGTTTTTTTTTTAGAACAAGCTCTACAAATGTGTTAAAATGTCTTTGACTTCAAAAACTTCCAATCAAACAAGCCCAAATATTACCACTGTTCAGTGAGAAAAACATTCAACTTATAAGGAAAGAACACATCACAAGCTACTGTACATCTAATGAGTTGGTTGTTCTCATCTATCAGAGCTAAAAGAATTTATGCAGCCCTAACCGGTTTGGCTCAGTGGATAGAGCATCGGCCTGCGGACTGAAAGGTCCCAGGTTCGATACCAGCCAAGGGCATGTACCCTGGTTGCGGGCACATCCCCAGTGGGGGGCGTGCAGGAGGCAGCTGATCGATGTTTCTCTCTCGTTGATGTTTCTAGTTCTCTATCCCTCTCCCTTCCTCTCTGTAAAAATCAATAAAATAGATTTAAAAAAAATTTCTTTTTAAAAAAGAATTTATGCAGCAAAGATATTTGTTTTGGGCATTATTTGGCTCAAAGCCAAGTCCATGCCCATGCTTTCTTACAGAATCCCTCAGTTCTCTAGCCCACAAACCCCAGGATGCCTCAGACTATAGTTTAAATTACATGTTTGTGAGAAAAAAGAAGAAGGTACCTCATGCAGAGAGAATCTTCCAGTTGCCTCTACAAACTTCAGCAGATTCAGAGAAACCAACCAGGCTGTCACATCTTCAAGGAACCTTTGATGTTCAAAGAGAATTCTACTGTGCACATTAATTCTCAAAACTGTTCAGTGACACCATAAAGACAGTTGCAGAACAATACACTTTCCTGGCCCACATCTGCATATGAGCACATACAACTGGTGATGGGATAAGTCATCAGAAGACCTGGGCATGGCTCTAGCTCAGCCACTGAGTTCCCATTCACTTGTCCCTAAAAGTGTCAACTGCCTGACTCATTGATTCACTCATTGTGCCAACATTGGTTGGGCAAATTTTACTTAATCTATTCAAGCTTAGTTTCCTCAGTTTTAAAATAAGGATGGTAATTGTACCTATTACATTGGGTTACTGGCAGAATTAAATGAGATAATACATACTACTGCACATGTCAATAAACTTTCAATAAATATTAGCTATAATTATTACTCATTATTATCTGGGTGGATATACTAGATACCTTTTAAAGTCCTTTGCAACCCTGAGATTCATTCTATGAATTAATTGTGTGACCCAGAAATTTAACATCTCTGAGCCTCAAGCTCTTTATATGTAAAATGAAAGGGTATACAGTTACGTGATCTCTAAGGTCCTTCCAACTCTAGAATAGTAAAAGGCTCCATGGTTGATATTATATGATTTCAGATGTGTCTCAGTGCCACTGCTTACACTGGTATGTCAAAGCAACTGCCAAATAAACCATCTTTCTCTGGTGGGGGTCTGAATCTTTTTTCACTTTTGTTCTTTTAATCTCATAACCCACCCCTGCATACATAGGCTGTATACAAGGTATGAGTCCCCAAAGAGAAAAACAAGCAAGTGGGGAGGAAGCCAGACCCTGTCCCCTTCCTTTAGGCTGGGCAGTTCATCCAAAACACAAGTAGGGGAGGTGCAATGAATGAATGAACTCATTCATTCACCCACAGAAGCATCTACATACTGAGGGCGGAGTGACATCTGTGCCTCCCGGCACCCACCACTTGTCTCCATATGCACTTTCCACACTGCCATCTTATCTGCGCCAGTTACTAAGCTGACTGATGCCTGGGGCTTTGTCATTCTAAGTTTGCATCCTAAATCCCAGGCACAGTGCCTAGAATGTGGTAGGCATTCAATAATTAAAAATTAATTAAAATTCATACTTCCTTCAGTACCAAAACTAGCCATTTGCAAAATGACTAGGCACTTTGGGGATCCTTAATTAAGGGTCACCAATCCAACAATATCAAGAACTAGCTGTGTGACTATGGGGGCGGGGATGGGTGGACAATGAGGGGAGTAATCATTTCACCCTCTGGCTCTCAGTTTCCCTTTTGATTAAAAAAAAAAACTGGAGGAGAATTTAGATCAGGGACTGGCAAAGTATGAAACTATGGCTCATGGATCAAATCCAGCCTATGTGCCCCCTCCCTCCGGTTTAGAATAGTTTTCACTCTTTTTTAAAATCCTCACCAGAGGATATGTTTATTGATGAGAGAGAGAGAGAGAGAGAGAGAGAGCGAGAGAGAGATAGGAGAGAGAGAGAGAGAGAGAAGAAACATCAATCAATCAGTTGCCTCCCATACATGCCCCACCAGGGATAGAACCCGAAACGTAAGTATATGCCCTGACAGGGAATTGAACCTGCAACCTTTTGGTGTATGGGACAATGCTCCAACCAACAGGGCCACCCTGCCAAGGTGGCTCGCATTTTCAAATGGTTATAAAAGCAAACAAAGAATAATATGCATCAGAAACTGTTTGTGGTCCCCTAAAATGAATACACTTATTCTCAGGCCCGTAGATTATCTCTAAATTTCTTTCAAACCGGGAATTTTAGCATTCTAATTCTGCTGAGTTTCCTTGAACAGTCCAAATCCGGCTTCTTGTACAGAGTATTCTCCCATCTGAAGAAATACTGAAGGCAAAGCAGGAACTCAATTGATATTTGTTTAATTGAATAAATGGATTCCGCAGCAGTAATCCTAAGAACTAAGTCTTCCACCAAAAGGGCTGATGCGTATCAAATGACCGCCTAGTAAAATACCTCCACAATCGACTGCCCATAACAAGGGGAACACGCAGCTCAATTGGCCTTTTGGATGAGAGCAGTCCCTGTACCAGCCTGGAGCTCAGATAACCGGGATTAAGACTTACCTTGTTTTAGCAAATAAAAAATACATGTAGCCATCCCCTGAACAAACCCCTTGGGCAAATTATAAAGCTATCTAGAAGTAGCTATCAGAAACACAGATCATCTGAACAGATCATCTTAATAGCCGTGGACCCATGAGAATAAATTCCATCCACAATAAGGCACATAGAATCATTTAGCACACAACATTCTGTTTCTGTTACCCTCTGTTGTTAAGACTACATAATACTAAAACGAGGAATTCAAACAGTTATGTCAGGGCAGCAGGCCAAGGAAAGTCTAGAATATATGACCCCATTAACACTAATGGAAGTTGGAGCAAGGTAAAATAGAAAATAAAGCTCCCTGCCTCCATTCTCACTGCCCATACTTTAAAATAAACAGCCATAAACATTAAATTATTCTTTTAATGTTCCTCCTCTGTTGACCCATAAATCACTCCCGGGGATATACCTTTTGCTGATTTCAAAAGATGAGCTTCTTGTTCTCTTTTTCCCCCTGCCCTTTGCTCTTCTTCTTTCTGTATGCCTACAAAGTGTTCTCCTAAAGGGGGCGAGGGCTGCTTTTCTGCCATCTCTCATTGAGTACCTCCAGTACAAATAGAGCTCACTACAACCTCGTACTGTGTCAGACTGTCCTTAGAAACTGCAAGGTGGATGTAGAGATTCCATCCTCTTTACTTTCCTCTAAAGAAGCTACTTGGAGCCCTAGACAGTTTGGCTAGTGGATAGAGTGTCAGCCTGGGGACTGAAGGGTACTGGGTTCGATTCCAGTCAAGGGCACATGCCTGGGTTGCAGGCTCGATCCCCAGTAGGGGGCGTGCAGGAGGCAGCCGATCAATGATTCCCATCATTGATGTTCAGCTACTTGGAGCTCTCTCTTCTCTCAACTGACCAGAGGCCTGAAGGCCCCCCTTGACCAATAATGAAGTAGATTCACACGTTTCACTCCCCAACCCCATGCACCATGCTCCAGACACACTGACCTGGAAGGTTAAGGAATAAAAGCCTGTATTCTCAGTGGTTATTTCCAGGCTCTTCATAAACCAGAGGAGAGAATAATAGTTAAAGATTGGATTGTCGACAACAGGGGGATGAGAACATGAGTTGGTGGGGGGGGGATTAATGGGGGGAATAAGGACACATTTGTAATACCTTAACTAATAAAGAATTTTTAAAAAAAGATTGGATTGTCTTCCTGACTCATTAGGTAAGCTTTCTTAAGAGTCAGAAGATACAGACAGACACTAGCCCTCTGCGGTCCTCTGTATAAACTTCAAAAAATTCCCTTTACTTCCCAGTCTTCCTGTTGTTTTCATGAGTTTTTTTAAATGGATCAAAATGGGTTTATGTCCTGGCTGATGTGGCTCAGTTGGTTGAGCATCCTCCCATGCACCAAAAGGTGACAGGTTGGGTTCCTGGTCGGGGCATCTGCCCAGGTTGCAGGTTCGGTCCCCGATAGTGGTGGGTACAGGAAGCAACTCATCAATGTTTCTCTCTCACATCTACGTTTCTTTCTCTCGCTACCTCTCCCATCTTCTCTCTCTAAAATCAATGAAAATATATTTTTTAAAAGTGGGTTCAATCTTAGCTGAAAAATAAAGATAATCTTTGCTTGAAAGAGAAGGATCCAGTACTCGGGTTACAGTGTTGGATTCTGGGATTCTCTAAGGAAAAGCCCAGCAATGGCTGTTCTCTGATCCCTGGTTTCAAACAGCCTCACCCACATTTCCTCCAAATCCCACCACTGTACACCTTGTTTCCCGTGGGCCCAGCATGGCCCTGAGTGCCTGCATCAGCCCTTCTTGGCGGCTCCTGCTCTTCTCCTGCGGAGCATGTGATCCAGAGCAGCCACTTGGGCCTGAAAAGTCATCAGTGGGTGAAAAAGCATCTCTGGAAGGAGCCTAGGTGATTAATGTACAGAAATGCAGGGTGCCTCCACTGCAAGATAAAACTGCTACCTACTCACTTTGTCTCTATAAAGGGCTTCGCAGACTATTCATTAATACTTGCATAAAGAAGAGACCCACATGTGCCTTTTGAATGTGAAGTTTAATAGGAAGTTTGAGATGATTCAAACAGGCGATGGAAAACACGTTGGCCTACTTAATATTATCATGTATATATGGGAAAACTGTATATTAATACTCAAAACAGACTGCCGTTTATTCTTTTAACAGTGTACAATCCTCTTGGTAAACACAGTACAACCATTCTTACTCTTCAAAGCAGAATTGACCATTCCCTCTGCTTTACGCCCCCATGTACCCTTTAAGAAGTTTAATATCCAGACCTGTGAACCTTTATTTACACATCTGTTTCTATGATTGTCTCCCCACACCCTACAGCTTCTACTACACCGGCCGTACGTCCCTTGAGGACAAGGACCTCATCTTATTTCTTCTTGAGCCCTTAGTGGCTAACAGAGTGCCTAGCACACAGCAGATACTACATAACATCAGGATGGAAAGGGGGGAGAGGTGGTAAACATTAAGAGGGCGGAAACTGAATCTGTCTTATTCATTGTTACCTGGCCTATAAATACTTCTAAAATATATATATATATTGATTGATTGATTGATTTCAGAGAGGAAAGGAGAAGGAGAGAGAGACAGAAGCATCAATAATGAGAGAGAATCATTGATCGGCTGCCTCCTGCATGCCCCCCACTGGGAATTGAGCCCGCAACCCAGGCATGTGTCCTTGGCCAGAATCGAACCTGGGACACTGAAGTCCGCAGGCTGATGCTCTATCCACTGAGCCAAGCTGGCTAGGGCCTATAAATACTTTTTAATTAATGGATGGACTAAAGAAACAAAGGAGCAGTAGTACTGAGGCATGAAAGTATAGGTTCTGAAGTAATAAATATCATCTTTCATTCATTTTATCTAAAAACATTTTTCCTTATATTTTGACAGCCTGAAAATTAGGATGCACTTTACAATGAAAGGCATCTTAGCATTGTGCCCTAGTTTATTTGGAACTTTGTTTTTTCTTTCTTTCTCAGTAATACATAGAATATAGTCATGCACATTATAAATGATGATGTCTTATATTCAGTGAAATACAATCAGTTGATGTAGCTGTGGAAAGAAGGGTTAAAAAGGTGACTATAAAACTGCACTGAAAAAACAAAGAAGGAAAAAAAAAAAGCCCGGTCAGTGTGGCTCCATGGTTGTACATCAACCAAGGAACCAGGAGGTCACGGTTCAATTCCAGATCAGGGCACAAGCCCAGGTTGTGGGCTTGATCCCCAGTAGGGGGCGTGCAAGAAGCAGCCAATTGATGATTCTCTCATTGAAATTAAAAAACAAATAAATATATCTTTAAAAGCCAGAGGTTCTTTAAAAAAAAAAAAAAAAAAACAACTCAGGAACAATCCTGGCCATGCTCCCTGCTGTGTAGGAGAGAGACAAAAGCAAGAAACAGAATATTGACATCATTTGAGTCCCTGTGTGGCTCAAACTAGCTACATGCTCACCAAACCTGCTTCTTTTTCTTTCTGAGCAAACAGGCCATATTTCTCAGCCTTGCTTTATCATTATGTGAGCCATGTACTGAGTAGTAATTGATGGAATAAGGACAGAAGTGATATAAGCCACTTCCAGACTTGGCCCATGAGAACCTCCCACATGAGATCCTTCAATCTCCTTCTCCATCTGCAGGTTAAAAGGAGAGAACTTTGAGACATCTAGAGGCCAGGGGATCCACAAGATGGAAGGATCCTGGCTTCCTGAAACATAGAAGGTAGCCTAACCAGGACACATCATGTTGAACTTCTATTCAGACAAGAAATAAACTTTGTGTTAAGCACCGAAACTTGAGGGTTGTTATATCTCTAAAGTCTCCTGATTCCAGCTGCACCCATCCTTCCGTAGCTACATGAAATACCCTAGTGTTCTTCCCATAAATTCCCTCTTTGCCCAAGCCAGGCTGAGTTAGGATCTTGCATCTACAACATAAAAGAGCTCTGAGAGCTTAGCTGGTTAGAACATCCTCTCAATATCCCAAGGTTGTGGGTTCGATCCCTGGTCAGGGCACATACAAGAATCAACCAATGAATGTATAAATAAGTGGAACAACAAATCAATGATTCTCTCTCTCTCTCTCTCTCTCTCTCTCTCTCTCTCTCTCTCTCTCTCTCCTTACCTCTCTCTCTACTCTAAAATCAATAAATAATTTTTAAAAAGAGTTTTGAGGAACATAGTCAAGAAGAATAAACTGCAATCATTTGAAATGGCATGAAGATTGAAGTAAGTAATCCCCAAATGTCTAGAAAATTTCTCATAACAGAGTAATAATTCCAACAAACTGATGACAATCCACAAAAGACTCTTTTCAATTTCAAGAGTTACTACTAGTTCTAAAATCATGAACCACTTAGCCCAACTGGTGTGGCTCTGTGGTTGAGCATTGACCTATGAACCAGGAGGTCGTGTTCTGGTCGTGTTCCCAGTCAGGGTACATGCCTAAGTTGTGGGCTCAATCCACAGCAGGGGGCATGAGGGAGGTAGCCAAGCAATGCTTCTCTCTTATTATTAATGTTTCTATCCCATTCTCCCTCGCCCTTCCTCTCTGAAATCAATAAAAATAGATTTAAAAATAATAAAAAATAAAATCGTGAACCATTTACAGTGTGATACTCTCTCTTCCTTCTCATTTTATTACCAGAAGCATGTACCAAGTTGTAATAGTCCTCCCTCAGGGTTTACTTACTATAAGATACCCTCTGGAGTCCTCAAACATACAGAATCCTAACTAGCAAGATAAACCTCATTTATCATACATAGCCAGCTCTGCTGTCCCATGATTTATTGGGAAATGGATCGGCATAGAGCTCTAAGAATTCAAATAATTACTCTGGGCTAAATAGCTCTGGGTATAAGTATACAACCCTGGCCAGAGTTTTCAAAGATAAATATTCAAGAATTAGCAAAGCTTCTGGGAACATTTATAAGACCATAAATGAAAAGATTACAAAATAAACAGGAGAGTGATGTGATGAATGCCTCCTTGAGCACTGAAAAGGTCTGCCAGGAACTGGGGGCCAGTGATGACAGAGCATGCATCCTGTTCCGTTCCCAGAAACGTTTATCATTAAGCCAAAATTGTTTTATAACAGCAAGCACTGACATCTGTGATATATTCTATGGGCTTGTTATAAAGCACTTTTATACTATACATTGACTTATTTGATTCTCAGAACAAGAGTGTGAAGATGAGATTGTCATCAGCCCTTCATTGACAGCTAAGAACACAGGCTCAGACAGGTCAAGTGCTCATGGCCCCAGGGTTTGTGACTTGAGCCAAGACTTGAGATCCAGTCTCCGAATTCCAGAACCTCTGTCCATTTCACTATGGACTTCCAGGGCAAAGGAATGGCCTGGCTGGGCAAGATTTTTTCCCAGTGCCATAATTCTTCAACCCATGTTGGAGGTTAGTTTGCTCTGTTTCATGTAGTCATATGTGGGAACTTTCCAGAGGGTTAAAGGGCCTGGGATAGATGCCTGGCCCACCTCCAAAACCAGCTGGGAAAATATTCTCTGACAAGATACCATGGCTTATGCCCACAGGGAGGCCTTGCGTGAGGAGGAGGGAGCCTGAGGCATGGGTTAGAAGTGCTGAGACCTCCATGTGATTTTCTCAAAATCGCATAGTTGGAGGCTTCTGAGACCCAGACAACAAGGTCTCTCAGGACTCCAAAGATAGACTACAGGGCAAATGAGCTAAAGGTGCCCTTTGTTGGAGAGGGAGAGGGGATCAACTACATAGACTGAGCTGGCCTCAATCAGCATTCTCTAACATGATTTTTTAAAATGATTGTAAAGAGAGAGAGAGGAAATCATCAATTAGTTGTTCCATTTATTTATGCATTCATTGGTTGATTCTTACATGTGCCCTGACGAGAGATTAAAACCCACAACCTTAGCATATCAGCTCTAACCAACTGAGCTACCTGGCCAGGGCTCTCAGATGATTTTTTTAAAAAAATATATTTTATTGATTTCTTACAGAGAGGAAGGGAGAGGGATAGAGAGTTAAAAACATCGATGAGAGAGAAACATCGATCAGCTGCCTCCTGCACACCCCCTACTGGGGATGTGCCCACAACCCAGGTATATGCCCTTGACCGGAATCGAACCTGGGACCCTTCAGTCCGCAGGCCGACGCTCTATCCACTGAGCCAAACCGGTTTCGGCTCAGATGATTTTTAAGAGCCACTTGTAAGAGACAAATTTGTCAAAAGCAAACATTCCTATACTGCCTGAGAAAGGCAAGAAAGGGAAATAATTGACATTTTAGTAAGAGCATTTATCCCTGGAGGCTGGTGATCTATCAACTCAGAAGGAAGACACAGGACATTCGGGGAGCTGTCTTTCAGCATGTTGGAAAGTGTGAAGAGCTGGCCTCTCCTGACTACTGTTACTTCCTGGGCTCCAAGGATGAGAGGGAGGTCCCATATACCAGTGAAGTTGCTCCAGAAATAGAAAATCCAAGATCCTGAAGAAACATGGGTTCGTGTCAGGGGCAAAGGCTTTGATTTTAACAACCTGTGCTTGAACCAGTGCTCAGACTCTAGTCAGCTGTGACCTGACGCAAGTCACAACCTCTTTGAGCTTCAGTTTCTATATCTGTAAAGGATAAGAACGCTTATTTTATAGGACTGTGGGGAGGATAAAACAAAATTATGAATCTAAGGGGCATAGCACAGTGCCTGATACACAGTAGCTGTGTATCAATAAAATGTTAGCTCCTAAGTTTTCCCCCTCAATCAATCCCCTAATATTGGAATTCTAATACTTACTCATTCTAATTATTATTAATCTACTGGCCCTTAGTAATATTGAAAGAATCACATATATTATCCAATATCTTTTTTAAAATATGTTCTATTGATTTTTTAGAGAGAGTGGAAGGGAGAGGGATAGAGAGATAGAAACACCCATGATAAGAGAGGAACATCATCTATCAGCTGCCTCCTGCACACCCCTCATAGGGGATCGACCCTGCAACTGGGCATGTGCCCTGACGGGGAATCAAGTCAGTGGCTTCTGGGTTCCTGTCTCAATGCTCAACCACTGAGCTACACCGGCAGGGCAGTTATCCAATATCTTGACCATTTCACTTGCCTCTTTAAAATATAACCATCAAAAACAACCAAAAAGACAGACAAAAAATAAACAAAAGAATGAAATATAAATCAAATAACTCTGGGCCCTTGGGCCTCTTACTAGTCTACTTTATGTTTCAAGGAAGAAAGGAAGGAAGGAAGGAAGGAAGGAAGGAAGGAAGGAAGGAAGGAAGGAAGGAAGGAAGGAAAAGAGGGAGGGAGGGAGGGAGGGAGGGAGGGACACAACTCAAAGGTCTCTTTTCAACTTTATAATTTTCTTCCAATCTGAAAGAGAATCCAAACCTATAGATCTTTGGCACACAGCTGTACTTAACAATGGTCAAATTCAACTAAACTTTCCACAAGGCTTAAAATAAAAAGGAATTCTGACTTTACCAATGTTTTCTTAAACTTAATAAATATGGCCATAGGGACAAGAGGAAGGATACAATCATCCATTTTATGTCTCCTTCTCTAGGTTACACTCTCCTTTCAGGCAAGAACAGTGCGCTGTGAAATATCAATTACCAGTATCCACCAGCACAGTAACTGGTATATAATAGATACTAAATTAGTGTTGGATGGATGGATGGATTGATGGAGGAAGGGGTGAATGGGATTTTTTTAATATGGGAGAAACATTAGAAATAACCTCGTCTACAAGGTCTTCATTTCACAGATAAGGAAGAAGCCTCAGAGCTGTGAGATAATTCAGCCAAGGTAGCCTCATAAGCAGCTAGAAGATGACAAGTGGTGGCAGTCACATGCCTTTCTGACTTTGAGTTCAAAGACAGATAGCATTTATCACTCACCACCAAGGGGAGGCAGTAAAGCTTGGAGAACATAGGATAGGCTCCACAGGCAAAGTCTTCTTGTTCCTGCTGCCTGTCAGTCATGTGACTTTGGGCAAGTTGCTTCATTTCTGAGTCACAATTTCTGCATCTGTTAATTGGGACTATTAATAACTTCAGAGTTGTTGGGGGTATTAAATCTGCCAACATACACAAAGTGCCCAGCATAGCACTATGTGCTAAATAAATGTTTACTGAGTGAATCATGAGTAAGTCCCTGTCCAACATACCACGACCTCATGAATGTGGTTTAGACTTTGCATTTAAGTCTCTGCCCACATGGAAGGTGGCTGGGACACCATAATTACAGGACCATGTACTTTGAGATTTCTTCCTTGCTAGAATCGGATCTTAAGGCAGCACCAAGTAGCCTCAATAACTTTGCTCACTATTCCCTTCACCTGGGATGCCCTTCCCACCATCCTCATTGCCACACAAATCTTACCCATCTCCCACTGCCCAGCCATATCCACCCTATGAAGGAAGCCATCTCTAATTCCTATGAATTCATTAGACATTACTGACTCATAAGTTAGTTTCCACCACATAGTAGAAGGGTATATCTGTTTGGGGTTTATAATTTGTGGTAAAATACACATAATATAAAATTTACCATCTTAACCACTTTAAGTGCACAGTTCAGTACTGTTAGGTATATTCACACTGTTGTGCAACTAATCTCCAGAACTTTTTCATTTAGCAAAAGTGAAACTCTATACCCATTAAACAATAACTTCCCAATTGCTCCCTCCACCTCAGCCTCTGGCAACCACCATTCTACTTTCGGTTTCTTTCAAATATATATATTTTATTGATTTTTTACAAAGAGGAAGGGAGAAGGATAGAGAGTTAGAAACATCGATCAGCTGCCTCCTGCACGCCTCCCACTGGGGATCTGCCCGCAACCAAGGTACATGCCCTTGACCAGAATCGAACCTGGGACCCTTCAGTCTGCAGGCCGATGCTCTATCCACTGAGCCAAACCGGTTAGGGCGGTTTCTATGAGTTTCACTCCTCTAGGTAACTCAGTAAGTGAAATGATACAATATTTGCCCATTTATGTCAGATTTATTTCGCTTAGCACAATGTCTTCTAGGTTCGCCTATGTTT